CACCGGGAGGGGCGGCTTGTTTTACAACGTCGTTGCCAAGCGATGAAAACCCAACCATGATGGTAAACATCGGGGGGAGGCCCATAGCGAGGGGGGGGCCTTTTAGCGAGCAGGGCTAGACTCACCCTCAAGGGACCAATCCCTTCTTGCTGCGGTGCTCCCGCCGCGAGGCGTGCGTAGTGATGCAGTTGGGTCGGCACCGGTGCGTCAGGCACAAAGGCCAGATGCACGGGCCTCCAGGCCGTCGGTGTAGGCAACAATGCCCATCTCATCTTGATGCGCGGAGGCAGACGTCTTCAGAAAGGTGGACGGGCACCATGTACACGGCCCTAGGTTTGCTAGAGGGAGCTGTCTCAGTAACCTGGTTTTGCCATCAAAGGAGGAAGGGACAGGTGGTGACGAGCTGATTGGGCTGGTTGACCCTTCGGCGCGAGAATTTTCACACCAAAAACCCTAATTGCGACCCGGGAGAAAGCGAGGAACCGACTGGAAAGGACAGCAACGAGAGCGTGTACGAAGCGGAGCGGGTCGAGTTTGGTCGTGCTAGGACTGGCCACAGCGGCACCGAACCAACGGCACCGGAGCAGCGGCACCGGAACAGCGGGACCGGAGCAGTGGAACCGCAGCATGCGGACGGCATTGAACCGTGGGGCACATACAAACATCTCTTGTGTTGTCAATTATTTTCGTTTTTTTCCTGAATATAGGTTTTGGGTGTGTGTGATGACGTCACTGGTTTTGTAGAGAGACGCGGAAGAGATGGTGCGGATAAACCGGATGCCTTAATTGTGTACCTGCATCGTGGAAGACCCCTTCAATGTGTGGAACGATTCCTCGTCAGTGTCGATGTTTACACTGCTGTGCCTAACACAGATGATCTGGATAGATTCGGGTGATTGTAAATATTAATGATGGCTTTGGTTGGGCGTTCTTCTTCATTGTATATCCACGGACTCATTCCGACAGCTCTTCAGACAGCAGCTGCATGCCCCGAGTTTATGTACCATGCATACACCATGGTGTTATTATTGTACAGACAGCACTTCAGACAGCAGTACGCTGTAGTCGACAAACATTCATTTTGGTTGAATGCAGGACAAGGGGGTTGATGCTGCTGCTGTAGTCGAATTGTAGTGTGTGGGCGTGTAGTTCAGTTGTGAGCACGCAAACGTGCTGCAGGGATTGTAGGTGTACCTCCTCGGGCTTGTGTACCCTTTGCTTGCTGGTCTAGTGTGTGTTCTTTAGATCTTCTGATGTCTCTAGCATTTTTGTGACCACGGACCGAGTCTTCGCTAGATGTTGGGATTAGCAACTGACACGAGTTTAATGTGAAGAAAACAACAAACAACAACAGCAACAATGTCGATGAGATCTCGAGAAAAATCGCCCGAAGAAAAACAACTTGCTTGAAGACAAGAAACCGGAAATCGCCTACCAAGCGAAAAAAAGGGAGTGGAACATTCTTTGGTGGGGTCACGTTTGGTGGGTTCAACATCGGATGTAGGTCTGAGAATTTCCGCAACAGAAAACTGACGCAAATAGGGTTCAGAATGCAGTGGAAGACCGATGATGAACGAGGTCAAGTAGTCCGTGCGGTAGCGCGAGTACATCGTCTAGGAAGATTGATGGGAAGATGCGGGCTGTCCCCGTCATCGATAGATCAAAATGAGGCGAGATCACTCAAATACCGAGAGTGAAGGTGTCGGAAAGAAAGGCTGCCCTGTCAGGCGTTCGAGAGATCGACGGGGAAGCGCTGAGAGAGCAGGGTAGCCCGAAAAAAACAGAACAAATGAAGCGATTCCATCTCAAAAACGGTTGGAAACAAAGACTGACTATTCGGAGGGATCAAAACATAACCATGGATGACATCGTTCATCAGAATATTTCAAGTCGCACGTACACGAGACTACCTTATGATCCCTGTTGCACGCCTGGTTCGACATCGGCAAACTCTTGCTCACCCGCATCAGCCAGTGTGGTGTGCGTCCACGAGTGCGTGGGTGTACAACGTCATCAACAATGTACTGACACATGTATGCACGTTTTTCACGTGGGTTATATCCATGTGCACACCATCGCATGTCCCCCGCTCGGGATAAAACAAGTGACTTGCGAGAAAACCAGCAGAAATATGAAAAAGAGTGCCGTGTGCCACGCCGCTTCCCCAATTGAATTGAATTTTACACTTCTCGACCACAGACGAGCCTCGCGAGACTTCGCAACCCATTGCCGGCATGGTCACTCACGCGCGGTAAACAACAAGAGGCAACGGCTGGAGACTTCATGAGCTACAATACATCACAGGCAGTCACTTCGCGCTCGGCAAGCTGTGTTTGCCCTGGTCAGGGCTGCCTCCAATCCTCCACTTTGATCGAAATATTATTGTCACACGAGAAAGTACTGTACACAATATAACCAATTCAAAGATCTTCGATTGTTCCTACGATAGGATGACAAACCCAGCAAGCTTCCCGCACATGGTTAAGCACCGAAGAGAACGGCCATGCATGCACATGCGATTCCCATGCTACAGACGAAGACGCTCGACATGGGTCAACCTTGTGGGCCATGGCGGCAGGCTCACTACCTTCGGCTCCTCCTGCCAGCGTCCCCTCGGTCGTGACGCCTGTCTCCATTTCGTTCTTTCTCGCGGTCCCGGTCCCTTCCCCAGTCCCTCCCCCGTGCTCTCTCCCTGTCTCGCTCTCTGGGCCTGTCCCTGCCCCTCTCTCTGCTATCCCCTCTGCGGTCTCTGCGACTTCGACTCCGGCTTCCACTTCGACTCCGGCTGCGCCGGGATTCCTTCTCTCGAGGTCGTTTTCGATCTCTCTCTCGATCCTGCACTCTTTCAGACGGTCGCCCATTCGCTTCCCGGTCGGCACCATCCTCGCGTCCACGTTCGCGTTCGATACCTAATGCGCTGCGGCTTGCGCTGTGACTCCTGTTGCTTCGACTTTCACTTCTGCTGTCACTCTCCCTCTCTTGGCTTTTGTTGGTAGATGGTTCTTCAGTGTCATTGCTGTCAGGCTCGTGGACATCAAAAGGACCAGGCGCTTCAGGACTGCTGTTGGCAACACTGACAGAGTTGTTACTTACTGGTTCAGCAGCCACCGCCGGAACACTGTCGGAGTCACGTGTGATGGGTTCATCTCCAGGTTGTGTTTCGGATGGAGCAGCGGCCGGAGGTTCTTCCACTCCGTCGGCTGGCGCGTAAACCTCCTGGATATTCTGCACAACTGCATCTATTCGCAGCGGACCTCCTCTCCTGAAAACGCTGTTATCGCAAAGCGGTTCTAAGAACGCCACTTTGGGTCGATGGTAGAGGGCTAGGATGGTGTTGCAGATCTCCCCCATCTCTTGGATGTCTGCGTTGAAGAGGACCCACCACGGCGGGTTGTCAGGCAACTTGATTCCAAGCGAACGCGAGGCCATGTAGATTGCCGCGCACGCTATGACTTCCGAGCGAAAACGCAGGGACAGGTCAGTGCGCAGCGAGTCGTTAACGTAGTTCCAAGCACGTTGTGAAACATCTCCTTCAATGTCTAATTCCAGCACTCTCAAGTAATACAGGATGAACTTGTGTGGGTGATCCATGATGTTGTAGAATCCGAACCCAAGCTCCTTCAGGACGTGGAGCTCAACACGGAGCATTTCGTCTCGCAGAACCCTCAACGACTCCGGCGGAATAACAATCGCAGGGTCCACGCCAATTCGCCGTTCAAACATGCGGTGAAACACAAGCACCACCGCCCGAGGCTGGCGTGGGTCCTCTTCGATCTTCATCGCCAGCAGCATGCACCCCATCGCTACGCTAAAAGCGTCGAACTTGGTCAAAGGCTTTCGGTAGAAAAATCTCTGGAGCAAGTTTTGCGCGGTGCACATCACTACCTGGGGCAACCTGCAAATGGCGCGCACCGGGATAGGGGACGCTTTCGTTAGGAGTACAATCGATGAAAATGGCATTTCCCAGCAGCGCTAGCCTAGAGCCGATCAATTGTATGGAGATTCGACCACGAAAAAAAACAATTAGTTGCCATGGAAATATCACTCGTCATAACGTTCCACGGACGTGTGTTTTCGGTAATTCCTCTCTACTCAAGAGCAACAAAAACAAATAACAGTATGAGTAAGGTGCGTCTTGTGTCGTGGCTGATTAAAATAGACATCAACAGCGATAGGAGGCACAGAAACTGAGTTTACGAGGGTCGTTACCCTGTGGAAAAAGAACCACGGCGGCTTGGAATAGCTTTTTGTACTTGTGATCGGTTTGGTTTTCTGGCGATCCATCCCCATTGGCCCAAGCGACAGCACGGACAATGCTAGCCCCCACGAGCTGGGCGTATGGTGCGTCTTGCGTGTGATTGACATTACACCGAGGGCTCAAAGTTGGGTTTGCAAGAGTGCACGAACATGCGATAGATGACCCACACGGCAGCTGTTTGCAGCTCGTTGGCCCATGCCAACAGTGTTTTTTTTTCCCATCAGTGGACTCTGTCGTCTGCCCCTCTGGCCCCTATCCTCCACTTCTACTAGCTAGACGACCCAACCGGGGTCACATAGGAGGGGAGGGCGGGACCCCCTCCTGCGGTTCCTGCCTGAGGTATTCTTATCGCGAAAAGGGTACAGCAATCCCTTCCCTCACGACTTTCGAAGTCGATTATGGTTTACTGACAACGAGCTTTGCAGCGCGTCGCTTTCATCCTAGACCAGGATTTATTTAGTGAGAATAAAACTCACTCTGCCGGGACTCGAACCCATGACCTGGCCCTTAGCAGGCTGCGAGGTTACCCATTAGAACACCAGGGGCGACCGGTGTATGTGTTTCCCGGTGATCCCTCTCCACTAGCTAAAGCAGCAATGACGAACCTATCCTGCCTGAGCTTTGTGAATGGTGAGACTTGTGTGGTGGTTGATATAGACCGACCGGAAGGCCATGGGACGCTCAGATATTGAATTAGCGACAGTTGAAGACCTACAGCACACGTCACAGTGGCTAACTTTCCGAGTCCGGCCAAACGAATGAAGCACCGGCTCTAGTGATGCCACTGGTACTCGTTTGGCCAACGTCCGAGGTTGCGATGATGAATCGTGAGAGATGGGGCTGTCCAAAACGATTGTCCAAAACTTGACCAAACGTGACTTTCTTGGGCAGTTAATCAACAGGCCACAATTCAAGAGTGTAAGCAAGGATAACGACGACCACAAAAAAATTCCTCTCAAGACGATAGACAATGGACTACGTCTCTGTGCACGCTGCACGCCCGTGGGCCAATGAAAAACGTCTGAACTAACAACCACACTGCGGGACGACGGGAAAAAAAATATTTCTAATTATTTTTTTCTGGGAATTCGAAAGGTGATGATTCCGTCCAGGGCATGAGTACTTTCTCGAACGCTCTCGTGTAGTGGCCATCCAAAACAATGCACACATGTAGTAACCTCTCGTCTTGTCTCATTGCCAGAGCCGTCGGTGCTCATCCTTCGAGCAGCAGAATTTCTACAGCAGGCCTGTCTTCGATGGAATCGAACGTGATCCTAAGCGGTGTATTAGCCCATTCACCCTGCCGGTGTTGAATTGTTTGTTACACTTGATGTCAAATGTGATCCTCGAGATGGCGCTCAAAAACGTGCAACCCCGACGGTATTTTGGATAATCAGATGCATGTATCAAGCTTTGGCCTATCGTCAAGCCGCAGCCAACGCGCCCAAATCTTCTTGGGCTGCTGTACGGGACCTTCGATGCAACGGCTTGTCGCGTTGCCTCGAGCTACCGCTACTACAGTGTTATGAGTAAAGTAAAACCACGGTGTATGAATTATTCTGGGGCGAAGAACAGGGCCGTGATTGAGACGGCTCTGTTTCTGTGCCACTGTATAATCTGTGTGAGGAGCATGGCCACGGTGAAAGTGACAGGCCTACAGGCACGTCGGACGGAAACAAAAACTGGGAGGAGCTGGAAAAACATTTCCCGGTTCCGGCAAAAAGCAAGCCTTCGATGGTGTAATACAACGTTTTTTCGGTACTCTAAAATGCAGACGCTGAGAATAATGATAATCTAACTTCAAATGGGTTGAGGGCACCACACAAGTGCAGATACACAAACTTGGTACTAGGTACTGTACAAGCAACGAACATTGCTTCTTCCAAGGAGAAATTACGCTCCACACATTCAGCAAACGTGACCATGGAAAGAACCTTAGACGAAAAAATCTATTATAACGTGGGCCGAATGAACCCAGTAGAAAAGAGAAGAGCCCCCACGTTACGATCACTGGTGTGCGAGCACTATTCGTAGAAGAAACGTACAAGTAAACGTTAGCTTAATCGCTCACGTGCAGCGCGCATAAACCACCAGCCGCAAGCATACTGTGACGCGGAGGCCTTCCGCTGTCACAGGCTTACGACGTCCAAAGAGGGTCCACTCTCAAAATGGTTGTGCGGCCGATGCTCCCGTACGACGCCTTCACGACCTTTATGTCGATTTCCAGTATGCGAAGTCAAGTCACAACTCTCTGGGATACAGGAGTGCCGTGTGTGTGATAATAAGACTACCCCATGAACAACCAAAGGGTGCCACCCCCAAATTTGGCAAAGTACTGTATGTGCCGGAAGAGGTGGCCGACTCTCGCATCAGATTGCCCGATCGCTACACAACCAAGTGGGTGCGGACAAACCGGGTGATTCTACCGAAGGCCCATCGAAGAGATGATTCCCACACTACCTTTAGTGTTGGTGTTGACACAATCTTGGTTGTGAAGTGTGGAACAATTTGGAAAACCGTCTGGAGGTCGGTTTGTGTGGGCGCGATCGAGCTACTTGCTACGAAGTACTTACCTAGGGAAGGTGCAATCACTTGGCGCGATTGTTTCCCGTGGGTTACCAAAGGGATTACACTAAAACCAGACTACGTGACTGGCTTGGCTTTCGCAAGGACATCCTGGCAGAGACTGAATTGCCAGAGATGGGTAAAATAGAGGCTAAGAGGGAGATGTCAGTGCCAGGGAGGGCGACGGGGGACCGTACTGAGCCCTACTGATGTACACCTATGTACTGCGAAGTACCCAGCAATCACTCGGCGCACAATCATTTTATACAACGGGAACCCCTATCTATTTTCCGTTGGAAAAGCGAACGAGGCACACCTCAGTAACACGCCTGCCTCCTGGAGAAGCTCGCAACCCCAAATGCGGTGGGAGGACTCCGTTTCCCAATCCACCTCGTGCTCGCCAGATGGTGGGTTATCCAATATATCGCGCGGGAGAATAATAGTTCTATGCCACGCTTCGTCGTCTGGGATTTGACCCAAGGCCCTCGCTACTGATCCATCCGCCATTTCGTGTGGCGCTCGTGCTGGTGCTGGTGCTGTCATTGATTCATGGAGGAAGACATGCACATGCCATCACGAGGTACTCACAGGTGTGGTGGCTCCGTGGTTTGAACATACCCCTCCATCCAGCCTTGAAATGGGGAAATGTTGAACAGCTGATGGTTGCGCCGCATGAAACCGCGAACGAACGTGCAGGGTGAAGCGACCAAACCAACTACCCGCATGGGCGAGGAGAGAGAGAGAGAGAGAGAGAAAGAGAGAAGCATTGCCCGGCGTCCAAACCTGGAAAGCTAAAGGCATGCAGCGCTTCTCATGAATAGGATTATTCTCTCCGGAGGTATTCTCCTGTCGTTCATTGCTGTTCATTCGCAGTCTGATCTAAGTCGAGGGCTGTGCTGGGCAATCGCAGTGTTCGCGTTCATGTGGGCCATGACGAATGAAATGTGACCTTTGGGGATTATCGACAGGAGCAGGAACCCCGTGTGGACGTTCAAGAATCGAAAAATCGGTGAGGATTTACTTTGTTTTGCCTACACTACTGCTGGTCTCACTGCTTGATCAATGTAGCATTATTTTTCACATCATTGTACGCTGTCCGAGGTAAACCATGTACCAGCCCCCCTGCTGCTTGTGTTCTTGGCCGGGCTTTTTTTACCCTGAGCAGGGAACGGGACGGTGGCAGACCAAGAATGTTTCTGTGTTGACTATTACATGTAATAAACGTGAGAGCCCCAGAAAATGCGCACCACCAGTCGAAAGGCATCGCGAAAAACAGAAATCGGTGTCGCACATGGCGGCAGTAGAGGCTTCTCAAAACATGCGTTTCACGCGTCTACCTCCCAACGCCTTCTTTGCAATCAAGACAAAAATTTACACCAGTCTAAGTTCAGATCAAAAGAGCCAAGACGGCAGGCGCTCAAACAAGGTAGGTTGGTTTCGCAAGAGGTTTTATGCACGTTGTACGAATAGCACTAGAGGAAACCCTATGGCAGCGGGGGGGGGGTGTTGGCGCGTTCAAATCTGCTTCTGTGGTGGTGATGTCGAGTCGTGGTAGTGGCCCCACAATATCCGCAAACTGATGTAGATACAAGACAACCCTCGTTCAGGGGTTAACGGTCCGTGCGGTGAGCACGGCTGCGATAAATGTTGGATTCCACCTTGTTCCGGCGCAGATTTCCGGGTGTTTTCAGAGGCTTCTGCGACCTTCGATATTTCAGCTCCAGTCGCAAACCTGAACGTCCCAACACGCACGACCCCTCTCCATAGTGTCCTCTACTGATGACAGTAGTATACAACAGATACTTCCGGTGGGAAGGTTGTTTTCTTTCTTTATGTTGGATTTAATTGTGAAAATAGAGCCAGCGTCAAAAAACTTGTTTTATTAATGTGAAGACATGCTCGGTCATTACAGACAGCAGTAGATTCGTGAGGACGTACGGGCTGTAGGCTCTAGGTGGTCGTGAGTGCGCACCGCCCAAGATGCATGTGTAAAGTCCAAAGCGCGTTCATACACTCATACCCTCCTTTGAAGTCAAGCACCGCAGGAGCAAAGTTGGAGAAGAGTAAGAGTCTTCAGTGTTTCCTTCCTTCCGCATGACCCTGCTGGTGTTACAGTGGTTGTTTTCTTGACCTTGAAAAAGCCATTATAACGTCCCGATCTCTGCTTACTGCGATGTTCCAACTGAAGCGGACGGACGCCTTCCGTGGTCATACAGATGGCGCTCTCACTTAAGAACTTAGCACTGAAGAAATGCAACCTCAAATAAATCAAAATTTAAGAACTTGGCCATAAGAACACGTGCTCAGTTCCGACGTTATGTTAAGAACAAGAACCCGCCTTGATGGTGCAACAATGTGCTTATAGATAAGAACAGAACCCCAAAACGTGGCAGCTGCAAGTTAAGAACTTACGAAGGGGTGAGGGCAGCTGGGTGAGGGGCCATGCTCGCGGGTGACCGGTGACCCCACCGGCAGTTTCAGATCAGCGGGAAGGGGTGTCCCTTAAAAATAGAACTGGTGCGGAGGAGGGGGGGTGTACTCATAGTCGTGCATGCCGTAGTCGTTAGACCGTTGACCTCGCATCCCTACAAAGCCGGGACGGAGCACGCCGGGTTCTCACCGGACCAGGCTCTCACATCACCAAGCGCGAAGCGCCGTGAGATATTCGGCGAGTCGCATGAAGGGTGCGCTGCATCCTGCTAAGGGTGTTCGGCATCTTGTGCTTACTTCCTTGCGTACGGATGACATCTGCGTATGACTTAGTTTATTTTCTGGTGCTTTCACTTCCTGCGGCAGTTGTAAGCACTGTGTAACTGCCTCGACG